TGGCGGAAGAACAAGGCACTACCGTTGCGAAGCGACAGGTGCAGAGTCAGCAAACAAGGATGCAACAGTTGCTCGCACGGCGTAAAGCACACCAGTCTTTTAGACTAAACCCTTTCGATTACGTCAATCCCAACCACTACATGGGACTCATGTTCTACTTCCCTCTTCGCTCGGATACAACTTTCGAGGAGACCTTTTCCAATCTGCAAGCGGGACTCGACAAGACTTTGGAACTTATCCCTGCCCTTGGAGGGAAAATGATAGAATGCTCAGAACAAGAAGTTGGCTTCACAAAAGGTGATCTCTGCGTTTCAATCCCACCTTTTGGCTCTCCAGCACGTCAACGTCTAGTATTCAAGGATCTGAGCGACGAGCTTCCATCTTTTGAGACTCTGCGGGATGGCGGATTCGTACCGTCCGCCTTCAAGGATGAGCAGGTGCTGAGGCAAGATACCTTCCCACAGCTACCTGCAGACATACTTGTTGCGCAAGCCAACTTTGTCAAAGGAGGATGCATTCTGGCTGTCGATCTGAACCATTGCTGCCTCGACGGGGTTGGAGCCGTCCTTGCTGTCAAAGCATGGGCTGAGAACTGTAAGAGCCTGCAAGGGGATGCCTCGGCCTCCTGCGAGTGGTTCGGTGCAGAGAGCTTCAATCACAACCTTCCTGAAGTTCTTCATGAACTGGAGGGATATGCGCGACCGGTGGAGGAGATCGACCCCAGTGTGTGGAACTTTTTACCATTTGTTCCATCGGATGAAGCTCTCGCAAAGCATTCTTCACAACAAACTGAGTCGGAAATGTCGCTGCTCAAATATACCCTGCACTCAGTATGGCCACTGCCTGCTGCAGAGCGGAAGATGGACACGACTTTGTTTCTCATTCCTCCCGAGAAGGTCCAATTGTTGAAAGAAGATGTCGCGAGAGAGCCGGGACTCAACGGTTCTGTGCCCTCCATCAGCGACATTGTTCAAGCATTCTTCTGGCGCTCAGCGCTGAGGGCCCGCTACTCTGTTGCAAAGAACAGCGGCCGGGAGTTCGATGCCGACGAGTGTTCGATCTTGGAGTTGCCCACTGACGGTCGACCATACTTTTCGTCTCTGCTTCCGTCCACATACATGGGCAGTCTGCTTACGCTCAATCGTACCAGCATGCCCATAGAGAAACTTTGCGACCAGGAAACGAGTATTCTGCACGTTGCGCAGGTGTTGCGCAGTTCCGCAGCGCGTATGACGCCTTCGTTAGTCCACGATGCTTTCACCCTGCTACAATCACTGCCAGATCACTCCAGGTTTTCTACGGCTAACATGGGTCTCGACCACATGCACGCCATGATTTCCAACATGATGCTGTTCCAGATGAGTGAGATTAGTTTTGGTGGTCGCTACTTTGCCAATGGCGGCTCCCCAGAGACAATGAGGCCTCAACTTGAACGAGGCAGCGGACGATTTAGGTTTCTGGTAGTATATCCACTGAAGGCTGATGGTGGAGTGGAGTTGGCGTTGGGTACTTTCCCTGAGGAACGGGAGATGCTTGCATGCGACGAGGAGTTCACAAAGTACGCACATCTGGTGGATGTGGCCAGTTGCTAGTGCAGAGGTGTTGGATTTAGAGTGGCGAACAGAAGTATTACACAGGCTGATATTTATTTTCTATACTTTTCAACTTGTATTTCGGATAGGTTTACTCCACCCTCCATTGTACAGTACATCAGATTATGGATCATGCACTTCTTTTCTCTTTGGGTGATTTTTGTATGCAAAATATATTATCGCAATATAAATCGTTCATAACAAGACACTCAAGCTTTGGAGAGGTGAAACCCAGGGCAAAGCTGACCACTAGCTTACCGTAGGCGGGCGCCCCGTCAGGCGTACAGTAAGGGTCGCCACGAAACCCGGACAGTAAGCAACATCACCGACCTAATCTTAATCTCATGCACAATAGGCTCAGCACGGCGCAAGGATAGACGTAAGGCACGTTTTCCGCCGTAACTGCGCCGGCTCACCACATACATGCGCACGAGCAGGGGTGGTTGTCTACGCCACAACACTCGCAAATGTGCTCAATTCCTACCAACACCGCGGGACCCACTTGCATCTGCACCTGCATACCTTCTTGGCTCTGTACTCCCCCCATTCCCTTTTCGCCCCCCGCCTCCCACTGTCACTATCCTACCAAGCTATGTTCAAGCGCCCCTCCCCCGTCGTCCCCCCCTCCCCTTTCGCTTATTTGCTCAAACCCCCGACCATCTATCTTTTTTTTATATTAAAACGGAAGAACTGACTTGGTGTTTGAAAGCATGGTGTATACCTCTCGATCCCCATTCTACACTGGGGAGTCCTCTTATTCCCCTTCTTCTTCTTCTGCTCACTCTCGTGCTTCTATCGAGGAAGAGCCTCTTTTATCGCCGTCCTCCAATATGTCTGCGTGTGCGGACGAAACTAAGAATGGCAGGCCGACTGTTGTTAGTTCGGAGCAACAGGAGGCTAATTCGCCTTTTAACGATGAGAGCCAGGAGGAGCGCCTGGATTCTGATGCGCAGGCTGGGGTGCAGGCTATCGAGGCTACGACGATGGCGTGGACGAAGACGAGTTTGGTTGTGGCGTATATTATGCTCTGGCTGATTTACTTTGTCGAGACGCTGCTGGGAGGCACGGCACTCGCTTTGTTGCCTTATGTCACTTCAGCCTTTTTCGCTCACTCGCTCACGCCTACTGTCAGTATCCTGAGCAGTGTTATCGGCGGCGTTACGAACCTTACTATTGCCAAAGTCATCGACGTCTTTGGTCGGCCACCTGGTCTCCTGTTTTGCCTGGGCCTCGGAACTATGGGGTTGATTATGATGGCTGCTTGCAATGGCGTCGAAGCTTATGCTGCTGCTATGATTTTTCATACTGTTGGCAATAATGGGATTCAGTATATCATGTCTGTCTTCATTGCTGATACGACGAAGTTGAAGAATCGGGGACTGATGCAGGCTCTCATGAACACGACGGCGCTGATCACGGGATGGATTGCTGGACCTGTTGCTGAGGGATTTCTTGGGGGACCGGGATGGCGTTGGGCTTTTGGAATGTTCTGCATTCTTGTACCGGCTGTGGTGCTGCCGTTGTATGGACTGCTTCTCAGCAACTACCACAAGGCACAGCGTCTGGGCCTCATTCCTGAGCGCAACAGTGGTCGCAGTACGCTGCAGTCCATCATGCACTACAGCCGCGAATTCGACGCTGTCGGTCTCATTCTGCTCTCTGCCGGTGTCGGCTTGTTCCTCCTACCTTTCAACCTGTACACCACCCAGGGTCGAGGCTGGTCATCACCACTAGTTGTCAGCATGCTCGTCGTCGGCATCGTCCTCATGATCCTCTTCGTCATCTGGGAGCGATTCTTCGCCCCTGTCTGCTTCCTCCCCTACAGCCTCCTCCGCGACCGCACCGTTCTGGGCGCCTGTCTCCTCTGCACCTCCCTCTTCGCCAGCTACTTCGTCTGGAACAGCTACTTCGGCTCCTACCTCCAAGTCGTCCAAGGCCTCAGCGTCAAAAACGCAAGCTACGTCACCCAATCCTTCACCGTCCTAAACGTTCTCGTCGCTCTCTCCGCCGGCTACGTAATCCACCGCACCGGCCACTTCAAGCTCATTTCCATCGTCGTCGGGCTCCCCCTTAGTATCCTCGGGCAGGGCCTAATGATTCACTTCTTAGCTCCAGGAAACATTGGGTATATAGTCATGTGCTTCCTCTTCATCTCCATCTCCCAAGGCCTCCTCATCATTACCGACGAAATCGCAATCCTCTCCGCTGGCTCCCACGACAACGTCGCTTCCATGCTTGCCATTGTCAGCATCTTCGGCAATATCGGCGGCGCAATCGGATACACCATTGCTGCATCTGTCTGGACGGATGTTCTGCCTTCGCGCCTCATGCAGTATTTACCGGAAGACGATCTTCCCAATCTCGTCATGATTTACAGTGATATTACGACGCAGCTTTCTTTTCCGATGGGGTCGCCCACACGTATGGCGATTCAGCGTGCGTATGAAGTTGCATTTACAAGGTTGCTCTCGATTGCGACGGGACTTTGTGTTTTGGCTGCTGTAGGAATTTTCCTTTGGAGGAATATTAATGTTAAGGAGATTAAGCAGAGTAAGGGTCATGTGTGGTAGATGGATATCGGGTCTGTATAGAGACATAGTATTCCTTTAGAAGTCAGTTGAATAACTGTTATAGACAAGCATGCTGCAATACCCTAGTTTACCGTGATACCTGTTTTTCTTCTGCAAGTTTGAATCGTTTTCTAGCGCATTTTATAAGCAGATGTACGTGGTATATATCTATCCTAGACCAGCGCGTTGTCCTAGCACATCAGCTTCTAATGCTGAAAAATATGTTTTTAGCGGCAGTGAGGGAATGGCTAAACAGGCTGTAAAGGGTCAAATTAAAGTAAGAAGGTGTGCGTTGGGGCAGTTTCTCCGCGCGGACGGCAAGATCTTGGAGACTTATGGAAGTAGGCTTTTGGTTTAACCGCGTCTTAATATATAGTAGCTTGTAGTAGCGTACTGTCGTATGCACAGGTTTCATGTAAAGTATTGCGTCTTGCAGCCAACATGCTGTCTGATTAAACTGAGACTGTGGCGCATACGGCATGCTTCTGGAAGTTCCTCTTATGTACCTGTTTATTAGGGATATCAACTCCAAAGTTGTTTGAGTGCTTCTGGGAATATCTAGTGACATGTCTGAGCTGGTATTTTCTCCAGTTTTGTCAGTGAGCGTGCCGAGAATATATATATGGACATGTCTGTCTCCCTTGCAGAACTACATCAGTTTGAATGAAGAAAAGAAGGAGAGATAGGATGTGGCTAGGAAGAATAAGAAAAACGATATTCTCTAAGAAGTTCTAACCGAGCCATCGATAGTGCATATCCATACTGTACGAGAATACGTGACAATTGCAATCTTGTTGTTTTTGACAGCGGACCTCGAACCGCGATACTCTGGAGAAATTCAGAGAATCTTCTCTCCTTCTAGTAAAATCCAGTTGTTGAAGCGGTCCACGCATATATCTCTATCAACATTCTGCACATCGCCAAAATTGATGATATTGCTAGTAGTGCCACTAATGGAGGCATCAAGGTGAAACTTGCCCTCATTGGTAAGGATATGTGCTCCATCGGGCGAAAAGGCGACTGATTGGGTCCAACGGCTAGGTCCCTCAACCGTCTGTAGATACCGCCCACTATACGCATCCCAGATTTTAACCTCGTTTCCCATCGACACCATTCTCGTTCCATCGGGCGAGAAGGCTACTGAGTCGATTCGACCACTATGACTCTCAAGCGTTTGTAAGTGATACCTACTTTGCATGTCCCAGATCTTAATTGTGGCAACATCTGACGCCGAAGCCAGCCTGGTTCCATCGAGCGAGAAGGCTACCGAATTGATAAAACTATACCCCTTCTTGAGCGTTTTTAGGCACTGCCAATCTTGCGTGTCCCAGATAATGATTTCGTTTGACGCCAACACAAGCGTCGTCCCATCAGGTGAGAAGGCTACTGAGCTGACCCAGTTGTCATGCTCCTCGAACGTCTGTGGGCGCTCCCCATTTTTCGCGTCCCAGATCTTGATTGTCGTGTCGTCTGAAGCCGATGCTAGCTTTGTTCTATCGGGTGAGAATGCTACTGAGTTGAGCCGATCGCGATGCCCTTTGAGCGTCTGTAGGCACTACCCACTACGCGCATCCCAGATCTGGGCGGCCTCATAGTGTGACACAAATGCCAGACTTGTTCCATCTGGCGAGAAGACTACTGATTCCGTCCGACTGCCATGCCCCTCGAGCGTCTGTAGACACGGCCCCCAGCTGTGTTCTAGATCTGGTTGGATATTACACCCTTGTGCTTGGGATTTGAAGATATTTTTGATGATGCTCATTATAGGACTGAACAGTATCCCCGATGTATAGATCTGTAGTGGCCATCTTTTGATCATACTCTTGTGATGCATGATGAAACGCCATCAATCATTAATGAGTGCAGTAAGTTCACTCAGAATTTGGTCATTCTAGCCTTGTTAGCATACTGGCTATGAGCTGTTAGTATCAGCCATACCTGCACCAGTTGAAGCACTTTAGCAACGGCTGCGATGCCTTGTTCTACGCTCTGATATAGACTGAGCGCCTCGATCCAGTATAGATATGTCTTCTTAAAGAACTCATCGATTGTAGCTAAGAGTTTTGGATTCTCTGCATTGTTAGCTGACCAGTCAGGATTCGAGTCGCAGAGATGGTCGGCCCAGTAAGTGCAAGAGTAGCGTACAGGGGCGAGAGGGTCTTGAGCGGGTATTATAATCTCCTCGGTAGCAATTCCTTGCTCTTTGAGATCATAGATGTCCCTATGCAGTGTGCTAGACAAGACTTCCATGGACCTCAAGAAGGTCGAACAATGGACAGCCTCTGCTCCGTCTGGGAAGATCTGCGAAGCTGCTTTGGTGAGCAGAAAGTCTTTAGCTGATTGATGTACAAAGTAAACGATGCCTTCTCGTAGCGTGAGGAAAGATCCACAGAGAGCGACAATCTCATCTACGTCTTCAGCATTCTTCTCAACTTGTTTGGCTAGAGCGACTAGCTCAGAGATGGTTATAGGTCGATATGAAACTGCAGCCAACGCTAGAACTTGCAAACAGGTTTCTGCATCCTTTGACGCACCAATCTGGCTCACCATCCTCTCATACAGAGCGTCCAGACCAGGTGGGAATTCGGTGAGGCTTTTCCGTATATGCCTTCTAGGTGTTTTCTCCAGATTCTGACAAACCAATGCCACCCACAAAAAGGTATCATTGGCGTTCGAGTTCAAGTGTTGAAGCACTTCTAGTTGCATTTCTGGTGTGTACTGCTTCTCAGTAGCTAGAATGTTCATCTTTTGCTCAATGAAGGCGCCAACCACCGTGGCTATTGATTCTGAATTCAGCTCAAGACTCAGCTTGATTTTGTGTCCTGCCTGCTCTAGCTGTGCTTCAATATCAGGCCAGTTGCGACTAGACACGACCCACTTAACGTGCGGAGATGCCGATGACTGTTTAGCCACAAAATCCAGCAGCTTTGGTAGATCAACGATGCACTCGTCTAAGGCATCGACGACAAGACATGCCCTGCCAAGGCTTGGATCCTGAAGGATGTCTGTGAAGATGTCTCTTAGTGCTACCCATGCGTTTGAATCCTCAAATAGCTGTTTGCCTGCATGCTCGTGTTGCTTTTGGACATGCCGCGCCAGGAGTGGCTGCTGATCCAGAAGCATATACAGCAGTCCTCGCAAAACCGCTACGGCATTATTAATGCGCGAGTCTGTCGCTTGGCAGAAGAAGTACGCGACCGTGTTGTGTCGTATGTTCTTCTGTATCTCGTCGATTATACCGCATAGCAGCATTGTTTTGCCTTTGCCAGGATCGCCCTTTACCCAGAGCAGTTGGCCAGTGGGATCATGCTGCCATTTCTGAAAGGTGCGATTATCTAGGATCCAGTGATATGAGCTAACCAGCAAACCGCCCTTCGTTTCTTCAATGCGCTTTTTGTCGTGACGAGGATCGCTATCGCGCAAGTGACGAATGCAGGCTTCCAGCTTCTCAATCTCCCAGCGAAGCCGTCTGAACGCTTCTTCTTCACCCTCCCCGTATACAGGCGCAATGTGTACACCGCAAAGACCTGATAAGGCATATGCCTTATCCTCTTTAAGCTTTGTGCTCCTCTCGTTTGCCCATCGCTGCCGTTCGTCGCATTTGAATTGGGACAATGTACTTCCATCTAGCACTTCAAGGGGAATGCTGGTTATCCTGTTGATTAAGCATCGTAGCGAAGATCTGTCACCCAGTTCGTCCCCTTCCTCGGAGAAGAACCTGACCGTGCACGGCGCAATCAGCTCTTGGAGCGTCCAGCCACGCGTGAACCAGCGGCTAGATCTAAACATAGCCTGCCAATCGGGCTCATCTACTATTTCTTCAAATCTTCTTTTCTTTGTTCGTACGTCTGATAGATAGACAAAGCATGCTTTTGCGTTCTGGTATCAACGAAACATGGACTGAATAGCTTGAGAAAGTTCAGCCTTGTCGTCTTTGTTGATGCAACACGTATCGATCCAGAAGTACTGTAGACCATCATGTTGTGCTTGTAAGTCGCAGAAGCGGATCTTTTCGTAACCGGCCTTACGCTCGCCATTTCCATTGACGATATCTGCAAAAGTTACTTCGTCGCTGTCTTGGCCCCATGTGTGAGACAATATCGCATAAGGAGGTGCCAGCCCGTTGCTGAAGCTTTCGATGATGATTGCGCCATTTCCGTCACGTTTGAGAAGGCGCATTGAATGAGATAAATTGGTGATGAATGGATGCGGTCATCTGCAAGAGGCGGTTCACGATATGACAGGCTTCCGAGTCAGAAAGCTTGTCTAGGCAGCAGAAGATAGGCTGGAAAAGCCTGGGGTTAACGTGATAGTCTTGGCCTGATCGTGGCTGTGTGCCAGCTCCATGGCTGTTTGGTGGCTGCAGCTGTGAACAGGTTGCGCGTGTTGATTCGTCACAATACCTGCACGAATTGGCGTTGGACCATTCAGCGCCTACAGACTGCATGACAATCAGCACTGTTCCGAGGCTTACCTATTGCTACATTTTTTGCTGTGCCAAACTATCTGAACTCTAGCATGGTATGAATAACCAGTGTGAAGGTAAAAACACACTCAGTACATTCGCGCCGCTGGAGTTTGCTGTGGTGTAAGGACGAGAGCTGCAGAACACATTGTGCGCGCCCGTATTCAAGCGCATTTAAGCATAGCCGAAGTACCAGAATAAAAACTGATGTGTTACAACGCGCGTCCTGAACGCTCAGATCGACTCTGGTAGTGTGCTCGGCTTCCGTAAAGTTTCAGTGGTACGCGATGTGACGGCAATATTCTGGATAGGACTGAGCTAAGGTCTCTCCGCCATGGCTGTTTTCATTCGAACACCTATCATGCTAGAATAGTCAATGCGAAGTGAAGGTGAATTCGGTGACGTCAGGGCTAAAACGATACTGTATATATCGCGTCACGTGGGATTACTCCTTCCTAGTTAACCTTTCATCTCCGTCGCTTTATCTCTCAAGTCCATTCACCACAACCCTAACGCAAAGATGCCTTTGCTGGAACTGCCGCCTGATATATTCAAAGATATCACTAGTTTCTTAGTGGGCTCAGAAGGGCTGAAGCATGCCGTGAAGTATCGTGGGGTTTGCAGTAAGTTTGATAAAAAGATTCCCGGACGTTAGGACAATAAGGCTAAGAAGTCTAGGAACTTTCAAGCAATACATAACAGCAGAGTTATACGAGCAGGCTACTATGGTACCTCTTGAAGAGCTTTTTGGGAGCCAACAACTCAAGAATATCCTTCATTCCCAGCGTGCTCTTATCCTCACTAAGCGGGACCATTCGTCGCATGGACAAAAATAACATCGTTTTCGACTTTGTTCGAAGATGCGTAGACTTTGCTTTGTCGCAGGGTGTAAAAACGAAAAAGAGCCAGGAGTCACCACGCTTTCAGTGCACTTTCAGAATATGGACCATGCTGATCGCATTGTGGCCCGTCTCTCTGGAGTTACGGCTGAAAGGCAAAAAGGACTCAACCGCATTAGTACTAATCCCAAAGATGCAAGTCATCACGCCTGCCATCGCAGCAGCATTTAACGACTCCGATACGTTGCTTCAACACGTTAATACCGGCTCGCACCTGCTTAAACCTGCATGCAAAGCATTGCCAAATGCCCTCGATGCTGCAACGATCTCTGGATGCAGCAGATCCCTGTCTACTATTATCACATGTCTTCTCAGACAAGCGAGAAGTGACAGTGCCCCGGGTCAAGGCAAGGTATGCGATGTTGCTCTCGCAGTTGTTAGCTCATTACGATTAGCTATTCGATTACGCAAACCAAGGGCGGCGCACGTATTGTTTGACTATATAGTCGGTAACAAGATGCTCTTACTGTCAACTTCAAACAATCTCGCGGATGATTTACTCGAATATTGTATAAAATATACCTACCTTGCCTTACTTCCAAGGGTTTTCCATCTCAGATACGGATGCTTCATTACCTCGATAGAGGGTGCAGTCAGGAACTGGATCGTCAATTCTGACGATTATCATCATCTCTATATATATGGTGGTGTGAAGACTCTGCAGTTCTTTCTCAAGCACAAGATTGTGGATCCCAACACGCACAGCCCTTATTCCCCTACCAGAACAGACATCACACCTCTCATGCTGGCTTTGAGGAACAAGCGTTATGATCTTGCTCGCGTCTTGATTGAGAACGGTGCAGACGTCAACGCAAAGTCAAAAGACGGGACTGGCGAATCAGCACTGATGTTTGCTGTCGAACACGGATATTATCAAGATGTTCAGTTTCTTCTCGTTCGCGGGGAAATCTCTCTCACAAAATCTGTATACGATGAAGCTTACAAAATCGCTTATAACAATGGTTGGGGCAGATGTGCAATGCTCATTGAGAAAGCAAAGAAGCAAGGCGCTGAGTCTATCCGACACTTGACATTTCGGAACAGACATGTAGACGAGAAAGGGGAGTTGCATCTAGTGTGGTTAGGTTTGGATGATTAGATACAGTATGGCAGGGTCTGACTTTTTGAGTCCGTGGATAGCAACTTGTCACATCGGAGGCATTAGGAGTCTAAGAGATACTTTGGGTTGCACTCTCTTCTTGAGAACAACACCTGATCTGTACTACTCTGCATGACCACTCCCCTGTTCTACAGGGAAACGGCGAGATATCACCACATTCGAGAATAATAATCTCCTTTAGTCATCACATTCATCCCTTGAGTAATGGTCATAGTGCGTGAGACCAAGGTGATTTGAATACCTCCGTGATGATTGGTATTATATTCCCTCAGAAGAACAGACGACTGTGCAACTAGTTCCCAGAATACCCTTTACCCTATATGGTTACATGAACAAAAGTGGATTTGTCGTGTTCGGCGTTCAACTTGACAAACTCACGGTGGAAATATGGTCAAATGAAAAACAATCTCGCGTTGGGTTCTTCGAGAATCAGTTTTTCATCATCCAAGGAAATGCTTGTGGTCAATACAATGGACGTACATGTGGCAAATGACGCCAAGTTTTCGGTCTGGTTTTAACAATTGATGTGGGGGGTTTGTGGTGGAACTGCAAAAACAGCTGGAATATGATCTTCTCAATGCCACTGCTGAAGCGCAGGTTGATAGTAGTCGAGAGATACTGTCTTTACGATTACTTATTGGGTTATATCTGAATGTTTGCGGCGAAGCAATCATCATCACATGAATATTGGTGAGAGAGAAAATCATATAACTATGCTTATTTAGAAACGATAATAAAAGCATGTATTGAGGAGATAATTATCCCGAAGCCCACCACCCCCACTCTACTCTAGCAAAGAAAAACAAGTAGTCTAACTATCTAAAAGGCCGAGGACCAGCTCATCGCATCTGAAAAACTCCATCGAGCACCAGATCTCTAAACTCTATACTCGTAAATCTATATGCATCAAAGCCCGCTGATCCCCCTCACACTCTCCTCCCCTAACCGCGCTTGGGGCAGTCAATGAATCCACCATCAGTGTGGCACTGCTTGCCAACAAGATAAGCCCACTATTTTCCACAAGTTAGCCAAGTCCTTCCGATCCTCTGAATCAATCTGCACTTACGTTCTGGAATCCACCATCACCCTGACGAGTAAACGTCTTGGGCGAGCTAAACAACACAACATCAAAGGTAACATCCGTGCCAACCGCCGCATGGTACTTAGTCGAGACCACGTTCTGGTAGCCGGAGCCCTCGAGCTTGTAGCCGACGTTGCAGACGACGACGTTGAAGCCGGGGTAGCGGGCGTGGACGTCGGCGACGACGCGTTGGGTGAATTGCTTGCGACGCTGGAAAGGGGGGTTGGTTGTTAGATATGTTTTTTATGCTGTATGAAGGGGGGGGCTTACCTCGATGTCGTCCCTGATGCTGTCGATCATTTTGACCACGCGGGTGGCGATGTCGATGACGACGGGGGCGATGACGGCGGCGGCTGCGCCGCCAGCGGGCGAGCGAGCGACGTTGGGAAGGTCGTTGGTGGCGCTGGGGTGGGGTGTTAGTAGGAGTGAGGATGGAAGGAGGGAGGTGGACGCACCGGAGGGCCAGGCCTTGCTCGACGGACATGGTGTCGATGTTGACCATTGGGGTAGCGAAGACGGAGGAGCCCACGGCGAGGAGGGTGAAGAGGGAGGCGATTTGAACCATCTTGAAGGATTGAAGGTTAGACTGGGTCTGTTGTTGAAATGATTGTGGTGGAAAGAGTGGAAGGTTGTTAAGTGTCTGAATGAGTGACTGTGAGATGCTGTGTGAGATTCTTCTAAAAGAGAGGGTTTTCATTTATTTAGATACTTCTTTCTGTCTCTATCATATCCATTATCTGATTTGAAGCTCGAGCTTCTAGGATTGATTCACCGCCTCCATAGGGCTGCTGTAATTTCCCCTTGACATTGGAGCACCTAGTCATAGCGTTGATACTGTGATATCATGACACTGACACTTTGTCTACCTAGTGCAATCAAACGTCAAAACTTTACATATTAGCCTTCTGCAATGTCAAGGCAAAGCTAAACTCTCTCATTTCCTTAGCGGCCTAAGGTTGTGTACTGACGCTGTAGTTCAAATCCTAAATATCAAAGATCGAAGACGCGGATCGATTCCACTTGCGTTATGTCCCATTACCTATTATCTTTCATTCGTTCATTAAGAAAGAAACATGTCAGGCACACAAGCTGTTTAATTTTAGCAAGGCTGCACCATCCCTAGGTTACGACGACTCAACCAGATCTAATTGAAACTTGCAGGACACAATCTCGGCCCTGCGATTTTGAGTTTAAGGCTGTGTTAGTTGCATTCACAGTATGTAAAAAGACAGATGGCGTAGCCACACCGCTACTGCCATTTACAGATTTCTCATGCCAGATTCAGCGATGATGGATAAAGCTTTGAGATGCACAAAGTCAGTTACGAGCGGAATTCTCAATATCATAGCAGTTGTTTGGATGACTGCCTCTGAGGCAATCTCTGTATGATGTGAAGTGTTGAATAGGCAGATCCCGTTCTATCCGCAGTTCGCTGAGCTCAGACGGCCCGACCCTAAGTGCATCGCCAGGTGCCTCAGAAGTTGTTGCTGTCAAGCTAATATTAAGCTGCGGAGATTTACTAGACGAAAGCTTATTTTCTATGTTTGAACGTCGTAAGGCTGTCTGCCTCTAGCGCACGCGCTAATCACTAAAGTTCTGTGGCTGTATCATCTAGTACGCCAGCCGTTTTTCTACTGGTTAGTACGTAGACTAACTTTGCGGTAGTGGCTTCCACAAGCGAGTAGTAGGCAATTTGCTCGTATAATCTGAAGTATTTTCAGCGCTGTCGCTCAACGCTCATACCAAGGCCGCACTAGAAGCAGTGACTTATGATACTGAGTTTCACACAGCCCGCGAAACCGGACGATGATATCATTGAGAAACCTTACTTTCAGCTTCTACCACAAGCGACTGTCTCACCGCCCTCTAGAAGATTCTTTAGACCTTCTGGCTCTTCCGCTTCATTATTAAACTTTGCATCATACATCGTGAAACTCGGAACAAAGACACATGCAGGGCAAGAGAAGTGACCCTTTTCTACTAGTCATATTAGCACGGACCAATCACGATTAGATGTCGAAATCAATTTCACCCTATATAAATTCTTGACACTCTCTGTATAACTTATCTGTATAAAGACCGAAAGTACTACACTTATGCCCATCTGCAACTGCCTCGTGGTTGCAAGTACCCGTGGTCTTCACGTGTAGGAGACGCTAGCCTGACATGGCTCTTCAGGAAGTAAGTAGCCGGATCAAACCATGTCCAACATCATCTCAAATTACGAAAAAGGTCTCGACAAGCAGCTTTTATCAATCTCCGAAATGGATAAACGTGTTGATTCTCACAAGATGATTCCTTTCCGCAGTTTTTATAGCTAAGCAGTGCGTGGTGTTAGTGTTATTAAGGAGTTGCACTGTTGTGGTATGGGCACTTTTTATCCGGCTATTTTGGCTCCCCAAGAAGCATGCATGCAGCCTATGGCTCCCTTGGCATCGATAAAACGTATTGTAGCAGTACATAGGGTTTCTCAATGTAAACCAAACGTTATGTGTTCGTGCAACATAAACTACTTGATGTGTTTTCTGTGCAGCTAGATATGTCACGACGTACCCCTAAATAAGCACAATGTCGAATTCGGGAAGGTAATTTCTTAGATCATGAGTATTCGGGCCTCATCGCTTTGTAATGATCAGTCATGACCAGCCATTTGGAGAGGCTGGGAAGGGACCAAGTCATGTGCCCCGCCATTGGGCTGTCTTGGCCAACTACTATGCAAAACACATATACACCATCCTGCATGAACACACCAATTCAGCATGAAAATCATCGAACTCCCCTGTGAGCTTGTGGAGCGCATCTTCGAGTATCTTGTTAGCGATGTCAGCCCACTTTTTGCTTCGCAATACCGCCTTGTTTGCCGTACTAACACCTTTCTTAAACCACTATAAGTCCATGACCCGCTGACTTGCATAGGGCTATTCGCACATGAAATCCAGGAACAAATCCTCAAGCGCCAGCCACTCATTGCGTATTCCGAAGATAGACGCAAGCTGGGGGACCCGGCAGACCGTCACATTACCATCGCTATTGACAATGCACGCTTTGACAAACTCTTCGCGCAACATGGCAGCACCATAATCGGAAACGAGGTCCTCCGCAGACAGCAAGATGATTCGCTCCCAGGCATCAAGTACCTGAGAGACTTGGTGGATGCCGTTCTGAACCTTGAGGAAGGCCCCGTGACCGATGACCTGCGCAAAAAATACACCATGGAAATCTGCCACGCTGTATCGAGCAGAAACGCCAAAGGACTCCGCTACTTGCTCTTCTCAAACTCTCCCATGACCAAAATGTGGCCATCCGTAACTTTCACCCTCCCCTCCACCCTCGCCGCAACAAAGCAAAACGCACGCCTCATGGAGCAAGCTCGCGATAAGCCCGCTATCCTCCGCATAGGCAGGTCTGTGCTCCCTAGCCCCCTCGAAACAGCATGTGCATGCGGCAACGTCGACCTGGTCCGCCAAATCTTGCAACTCGAGTCCGACCAGACTTTGAAAGAAGCCTACGGCGAGACTAGCCGGCGATGCATTTCGCAGCAGATCCCGCAACTGAGCGACTGGGTCGCGCTGTGCATCTCGATGCGAATGGGTCAGTGGGAGACGGGCAAAATCTTTCTGGACCGCTTCCACGCCGGACCGAATGTAAGAACGTGCAGACGGTTTGGCACGCAGCGATTACTCGAGGAAGCGATAAAATACCCAGATAGGGGCTTTGTACGCGAGATCCTGGACCAACGGCAAAAGTACGGCGGGTGTCTGACTAAGAGTGAGATGCGGTATATCTACAGTTTTGGCACGCCGTCTGTTCTACGGTTCTTGATCGAGAACGAGTACATTGATCCGAATTTCTGCGGCGGAAAAACTCCACTGAGGTGGGCCGTGTATTATCAGCGCTATGACCTCGCGCGTGTGCTGCTCCAGTATGGCGCGCGGGTCGATGGCGTGCCGCTGGACGGGAAGCCCGTTACTGCTCTTTGTCGTGCCGCAAGGACGGGATACCGAGGTACCAGTGATAAGCCCTTGCCAGGTGTCAGATTTCTTCTCGAAAATGGAGCCGACCCGGCCTTGGTAGAAGAGCAAGTACCGTGGCCGGACGCCGAGTTTATATTGCAAAACGCGAGGGAACACGGAAACGAAGTGGCTTTGCGTCGCGAGACGTGGGAAGAATATCAGAGAGCAAAGTCGTGGGAAAGAGAGCCTGTTCTAATAGACCTATCATAGAGTATCCCCAGATATCTCAACTAAGAGTCGACTGTACCGATGGAAGAATAATACCCCGTATCCCAGAACAATCTTCAAGTCCAGCACATAAAAACGCCGCGTTCTCCATTCAAGCATACAGTGGATATCAGAAACACAGCAAATCGTACAATAGTTCCTTTAGTACTTCTCCTCCAACCTGGCAGTCATACCCGTCACTGTCACACGTCTGTTCTCTTCCTTCTCCAAGGCATGCAGTTCGCGCTCCAGCTCCTTCTGCACCGTCGCATTTTGGACGAGAGTAAGCTGGTCCAGAACCTTTGCGATGCCTTCCTCAGTCTGGCCATTGAATAAAGTCGCAAGATCTGACTTTGTAGCTACTGCGAGTTGATCCTCTAGCGCCTTCAGTGCCTTGGTATTAAGATCAGAGACGGCCTTCTTGAATTGTTCTTCTTCAACCGCCTTCGCTCTCTTGGCCGCTTCCTTGGTTTCGTCAATACTGGCTTCCCCTGCCTTGCGCTTCGCAGCCTTCATAGCTTCTTTCTTCGCCTTAGCTGCTAGGTAGCGAGCTGAGTGTCCTAGTGCGCGTCCGTCCTTGGTAAATGGCTGCTCAATATTGAGCGGAGGAGCGGTGAAGAAGAGCACGCGACCCTTCTCGTCACATTGGAACTGCTCACGGATTTCAGGCGGTATACTATTGTTCGCGTGATCGGCCATGACATAGACTTCAACAGGTTGCGGTGCTTTGTAGTTGGGAGGCATCTGCTGGAGGTACGGTTGTTGATAGCCCGGAGTAGGCCGCGGCGTCTGGAAGGACTGCATAGGTGCTGTAGGCTGAGGTGTGAAGGGAACATGCGGCGTTATTGGCTGGTAAGCAGGTACCTGAGGTGCCTGATGGTGCATGTGCGGTGCGGGTGACTGAGAGTGAGCATGATAATGTGTCGCATGAGTCGGAGTGTATGCGGGAGGCACATGATGTTGCTGTGGTGTTGGTGCAGGCATTGGGGTGAGGGCAGGTGGCTGAGCTATAGGATAGTTTCTTGATGCTTCGAAGCCATGCGCCGAAGGAGTGGGCAAGCTTGGCGTCGGCATCACGGGCGCAGGCGGTGGTGTTGGAGACGGTGGTGGAGTGGGTCTGGGAGGTGGCGAGTCCTGGAATTATTGTGAGTGACAGTGTGTAGTAGTATGAAGTTCCGGTCACTTACCTTTGGGTCGCGTGGACGACGATGAACAGCGCCAATCTTCGGAGGCGCATTCTCAGCACCCCACTCTGGCTTTGGGAGATCGTCGTCCTCTTTTTGATCATCTTTGAGAAGGTAGGCAATCGGACTAGGCACCTTTTTCAACTTTCGCGGCGCGTCGAACAAATCCATAACGTAGTCCTTGTCTCGTACTTCATCAGGGAGACAGCTAGCCCAGGTCTTGATCTTATTGAGCTTGTGATTTTCCTCGTTGTACCTGGCTTCGCAGACGTAAATCTCTTTGTCTGAGGGGAAGTCGCGCGGGCGGCCCTTGTTGTATCTCGTTGTGAACATGACGAAGCAGCGATCTACAACCTCATCAATACGGTGATCTCGATACTGGCCAGTCTTGACAACTTCGTTCTCGAAAAAGTGCTTATCGAAACGATGCACGGTCTGCTCTGGACGGTAGTACCAGCAGGCATTCACCCACTGACCACCACTAGCGTCTTGCCATGTACGATAAATCTGAGCGACGATGGGTTTTGTGAGGTCGTTCGCGTTCTGGATGTGGACCCAATCGCCAACCTTCCATAACTCTCCGTTATGAACGATGCCACTAGGCATAGGTATGCGTCCTTCTTCCATGACGTACTCGGTGTCTGGCTTCTCTTTCTCAGCTTTTGCGACCTTGCGCGCTTCCTTTTGAAGGTGCACAGCGTCTTTATAAATCTGGCTATCCTCCTCGTTATATTGCTTCGCATTCTCAAACATAAGCTCCACATCTACCATGAAGTGATCTACCGAGTTGTACTTCTTCCGCTTCAGCTTGCGCTTCAAAATGTCCATGGCCATAGGGTTCTTGATTTCAGAGTGGTATTCGGGCATAACCGTCTTGTCAGGGACACGCTCGAATGCGCTGACCATAAGCTTGTTCTGCTGATTACGAGGCTTCCGGATGGCCTTCATGATAGCTTTGATTCGTGCCTCCATAGGCGTGTCAACCCGCGGCGGACGTCCGCGTTTTTTCCGGGACTCTGGATCGTCGTTTTTGGCGTCCTCCTTTGCCGCTCTTGAGCCTCCTTCGCGCTTGGCGTTAGCTGCTGTGGACCGCGCAGGCCTTCTCCTCTTGCGCTTCCCATCATCCTCTTCATCCTCGTCATCGTCTTCTTCGTCAACTTCGAGTTCTTCCTCGTCATCTTCCTCCTCTTCCTCCTCTTCGTCTTCTGGCAGTAGCGGATCCTGTTCCGGAATCTCGCCTAGAAAAGGCAGAGTCGCAATATCCTCAGATACAATCTTATCGTCAACAAGGCGCTTAAGCTCGCGCTCAATGACCTTCTTTACTTCAAGCGCATCGACATAGGCCTGCGAGTCCTGTCTGTTGTACACTTGCGCATTGTGAGGTATGAGAGCCAGGTCGCGGACGAACTCGGAAAAGTTCTTGTATTCCTTTTGTCCGATCTTGGATTTGATAGTGCTGAGGGCCATGGGCTCTTTGATGATGTCGTAGTAGTCGGGCACGGCGCGCTTGTTCACTTTGCGCTGGAAGAGTTTTGTGGGGTCATAGGTGCCACTGGAGATATATCAGCACTGGCACATGATCTTGCCAAGATCAATCACTCACTCGTCAATCCTGTAGTCGTAGACGTTCTTCAGCAAGTTGGCCATGGCCTCCCATTCTTGCTCCGTCACCGTGGAAGTTGCCCCAGAGGATTCGGCCGTCTCGGTTGTGGGCACCGGCGTTGAACTCGGCGCGCGTGCGGACGCCATTGCTGCGATGGATCACCTGGTGTTGTGGTGTTGCGCCGTCGTCTCCCTTTGGTGTTGGCGTTGTCGCGTCGTGGATACAACGTCGCGACTGGAGCGGAGCGGCAGCGGCATTACGATTATCCGAGCATGCCTGTCGCACATCTCCGCCTCGGCCAACTCCAGGGTTCCCGAACATTCACTTGCGCCGTGCCACTTGTTCGCGCCAACCGTCGCTTCTTGCGAGTAATGCCGTAGCTGACAAACTATATATGCTCTCCCTACAATAACATCCACAGTGCCTGCTCCTGCGTGAAGATATTTCTTTTCCACCTGCCTCCTACTCGCCCATCGCAACTTGCTACCTGTGACAACTGCACCGCTGCGTCCCACCAAAGCGCCCCACTACTTCCACCACTCCACGCCATTCGGTCTCTTATACTTGTAACAGCTGTCGCCACCCAGCATATAGTCTTGCGCATTTCTGTTCCGCAGTTGTCAGTACCAAGCTCTACCGCCATGCCCATTCGCCTCCGATTACGAGCGCCCAACGGCACCCATACCCTCTCCCTCGACGATAATGCCGCCGTCTCCGACCTTCTATCATCTATCAGCGAAAAGACGGAACTCCCACTCTTCGAATTGAAATGGAACCACCCACCCCAGCCGCTCGATCCTTCACTATACGGAATGTCTACGCTATTGAAGGACATTGACCTTAAACTTAATGGCGCCTCCATCATCGTCATTGGCAAAGCTACTGGCGATCCAAGTGAACGGAAAGCAGAACAAGAAGCCCAGTCTGCTACATCTCAGTCAGCACCCCTGTCGTTACAACGCAAGCAGAACTCCGCGCTCAAAGACACTCCCGAAGTCCCTGTGCCCGAACGTGCTGGCACCATTGTCCTGAGAGTGATGCCGGATGATAACTCATGCATGTTCCGAGCTCTTGGAAGCGCCGTTCTCTCCGACTCACTGGATGCCATGACCGAACTTCGGTCGATGGTCGCCCAAGCTATACAAAGAGACCCCGAACAGTACAACGAAGCAATCTTGCAGCGGTCTCCCGACGAGTACTGCAAATGGATATCATACTCGGACTCATGGGGTGGTGGAATTGAGCTCAGTATTCTCTCCCAAGAATTTGATATCGAGATTGCCAGTGTCAACGTGCAGGACAACCGTGTAGACCGCTTCAATGAAGGTCGACCACGCCGCTGTATCCTTGTATATTCCGGTATTCATTACGACACTATCGCTCTGGTTCCGCGTGGAGTTTCGCCTCAAGATCCTTCTCAAGACATCAAGCTTTTTGACGCCAATGATGATGTCATCCTCGAGGCTGCACGGGAACTCTGTCGCCAGCTGCAAAAACAGCATTACTATACAGATACCCAGAAATTCGACATCAAATGTAACACGTGTGGCTGGAAGGGAGCTGGAGAACGGGGAGCGATCCAGCACGCGACAGAGACCGGACATAGTGACTTTGGTGAGGCAAACTAAGTGTCCACTACCATCAAATCCCAAAGGGTTGTATTTGGCATTGTTATCACTGCTAGAAGGGTATAGATTGTGAATCACATAGAAATTTCTCATGTTGTGTTGCTGTTCAACTTTCAACAGTGGTTCCAATAGGCGAAACTGATTTATCAAGAACCATTGCATTTTCAATTGCTGTAAACACTGCGTGATGGTATTCAGAGGCATTTGTCATGCTTCTTCAAACGATCACTTCTTTGCGTGCATTTCCGTAAAGTTCTCTCGTTCCCAAGTTCATCGTTGAATGTTTGTTTACGATCGCTCTTTCCTCCGTTGACTGTTGACTGTGACGTAACCGTCCACCTTGTTCCAACGCTTCTTGTGAATCTGAGCTACCTCACCTCACCTTTTGCTGGAATATCTTCGCAGGCTTTCATCTGGGTATTACCTTCACCTTTCGCCGAGCTATAACGACTGGTCTTCACTTCCACATCCGTATTCCGCTAGCACTTCACTAACAACATGTTTAGACCGGGAAACGAACTGCTCCCTAAGTCGACTTATGCTCGAGCACCTTTTTGCTGGAATTTTAGAAGATCTTTCCGAAAGAGGTCGCACCGTTTCTCATGACTGTATGTATCGTTGAGCTTTTACAGCAATCAATCGATCGTCATTCGGTGCTGACACTACACTGTAACATTTTCAGTTAAAATGTCTGAAACACCAGAGACGCCGAAGGCAAAGCGCGCACGAACCATGGCCGATATGAAGTTCCGCAACGAATCACCATCGTAAGTGATTTATGGGCAGGGAACATTGATCAAACGAATGTATGCTAAGGCTTGCAGCATCATGGGCGAAACCGTTCCTGTATTGATTAAAGGCGGGCAAATCCATGTGCATAAAGAGGTCCTGACCTCTACCTCGGACTTTCTCAAGATTGCCATGAAGCCGAAATGGCGTACCGATGAGAACCGCCCGATCGACCTGACTGAGGAAGATGCCAAAGCCGTTGAAGCATACTGCCGATGGCTTTACTCGCACACAATTCCTTGCCATGATGATATCCTGTACACCACCAGACTCCTATGTCAGCTCTTTGTCCTTGGTGAGAAATTGCTGGACCAAACACTCAAGAACGCGGTCTTAGCCATGATGATTGAGGGGCTCAAACCAATCATAGATACCTTTGCTCAAGACCTTTGGTCAAACTTATTTATGACGGAACTCCAAAGGGCTCGCCAGTACGCCGCCTCATGGTTGACTTATATGTATACAATGCACATTCTGCCTGGCTCAGCCCCCATGATTGTGCCTCTTTTCGGGGGACTGACTTCTTGGAAGAGTTGGTACCAGCTTTGCTAAGTGCGCGGCCGCAACCATCTTTCGAAAAAGGACGACCATGGGTAGTTCGGCCCGAGTCCTACCGTGAGGGAGCATTTACCTATGGAAACAATGTCGAAACTGGTTCGACAAAAAGCACCTGAGAGAAAACAAGAAATCTCTCGAGGCTGGTGGGGCTATCGTCTGCACACATACACATACATATATATAACGTGCGTGCGGCAGTGTTGTTGAAGGGAAAGAAGGGAACATCATGGCACCTTGAAACCATGAACTCATCTCTCAGCAGCTATCATGATATCACAGAATAATTCTTACGCTCTCTACACAACCCCCCGAGCACTCAAGTGGTCCTCGAAGTCGCTAATGAACAAGGAGATGTTGCCAAAGAGTTAATTGACGGCGGTGACAAAACAATCAATATTACGGCTAAAAAGCAGCATTATATGTTGGAAGCTAATGTTCTTAAGGAGCAAGTACCAGTCGATTATGATGGATTTATGAAAGTCTTACAGACCCACAAGTATGGGAGCGCTGAATGCCCGTAGTACAAACCGGACTCATGATGCTGGCAGTCCGAGTCATTCTAGGCCCAGCTTCACACGCAGACTTGGGATCAATCAGTTCAAGCAATCTGATTGGTCATTTTTGATTTGATTGATCCCTCAGGACCTCCAGAATTGAAGTGAATTGATTGATCTATATTTTGGTAGTTTTTGAATTGAGTTTTCATTATTTTGATTCGTTTTGATTCAAAATTTCCTTATCTAGCGATTAGAACTAGAAATTGCCTATAGAATGGTAGAAAAGCTAGTGGTAGACAAGGTGGTGATGATCTGGTGGATCAGATCATGTGATACTATCGATAAGATCACGTGATCTGATCCACTAGATCATCACCACCTTCAACACCACGAATATGGACTGCACGTGATTCAATCTATCAATCAGATCAATCAATCTAGCTCTCCAGAACTTGATTGATTGATTGAATTGAACGAAACAATCGATTTTCAATCAATCGAATCAACAGATTAATTGTTCCCCAGTGTGTTCACACACCTCGAGCCGCTTAGAAGGTCTCCAATTCAAGTCTAGCGTGTTCGATCGAAACATCTTCTGGCATCGCACATCAGCTTTAACGGTACCTTGTCCCACTCTGCATAATAGTGGGTGAATAATGCTTGCGACTACATACAGTGTTTCCTAGGTCTTTCAATTTTTGTTTGCTGAGAAGATTGCCGGAATTTCAAGACATACAGTATGGGAGAAACTGTTCTTAGTTTGCTGTAAAGTAAGACACTTCTGGACTATATCACCACACCAGTTCTTGCGGTCGTTGTGCTCTATCACTTGCAACATCTGGCAAGATGACAAATTCACCAGAGCTAATCCGCTACCAACCGGTACTCCGAGATCGTCAAGACACTGGCCCTGACAAAAAGAATGCAATTGATCCAAAAGTAGAGGAATTTCGAATGGCACCCCTTGTTTGGTGGAATGTGAAGGAGCACGTTGAGCCCCAGCAACAGGTTCAACGTGGTTACGCGGTACTAGGCCATATTCCAGAGGCTGACAATGAACCACACGACAACGCATCCATCCCTAGTAGCACAACGCGAACCCCGGTTCTACTAAACACCGACTCACCCTGGTCTGCATTCCTGTGTGGTTCTCAAGGGTCTGGAAAATCGCATACTCTGTCGTGTATGCTCGAAAACTGTCTTTTGACCGACAAAAAGATCCTTTCTCGAGTTGGACTAAATCCTCACCCACTCGCCGGACTGGTGTTTCACTACGATCGGTGCCAGGGCAGCGGAGTTTGTGAGGCCGCCTATCTTTGCACCAACATTTCGACGACTGTTCTTGTAAGTCCAAGCAACTATGGTAGGCTGAAAATGGCATATGAAGCCATGGCAAAGAAGCAGCATGCAAAAATCTCCGTCAAACAGCTCTATGTCTTGCCAAAGTACCTTGATACAGAGAAGATGAAGACTTTGATGGCTGTGGGGAAAGAGGATGATGTGCCGTTGTACATGCAGGCCAGTTTCCCTCTCCTCTCCTCTCATAATGAAGATGTGCTAACTCAACTAGACAATACTCATGATTCTCCGCAAAATGGCTATCAAATCACAAGGTCTCGGCAAATTCGACTACATCACCTTCAAGAACGAGCTATCAGCCACCAAGTTCACCAGCGCCCAAGATGGTCCCATGAAACTCCGCCTTGACCTACTTGAATCATTCATGAAGCGTAGCAAGAACGGCGCTAGTATTCTGGCGAACACCGAAAACGACTTCCTGACTGGCACTCCAGGTTCTCTCACCATTGTAGACCTAACAGATCCTGTCATCGACGCTGACTCCGCTTGCGCGCTCTTCGATATATGCCTCTCTGTATTTATTCAGCAGACGCAGTGCGGAAAGATTGTCGCGCTGGACGAAGCGCACAACTACATGACGGAAGGCAGTAGTGCGGCTAAAGCCTTCACTGAGAAGCTCTTACGGACAGTGCGTGAGCAGCGACATCAAGCCGTCAGAGTCGTTATCGCAACCCAGGAACCTAGCATCAACACGCAGCTGTTGGATCTGTGTAGTATCACGATGGTGCACAGGTGTACGAGTCCTGCATGGTTCAACGTGCTTAAGCGACATGTTGCAGCGCTTTATCTGAACTTGCCGACGTCTTCTCAGGCTGGAGCAAGTGGCGGAGAGAAGGCAGAAATGCTTAAGGATGATACAGAACTTTTCCATGAGATTGTTCGGTTAAAGCTTGGAGAGAGTTTGCTGTTCTGCCCGTCAGCTGTGGTTAAGGTTATTGGAGGAGAGATAGGAAAGATGGAGGGGAGGTACGTCAAGTTCAAGACGAGACAAAGGGTCACAGCGGACGGGGGAAGGAGTAGGCTTGCTGCTGAAGGAACTTAAGGAAACTCACGACTGGCCCGATAGACACTACTGTGGAGGGCGATCTAGTGAGGGAAGAAAAAGGCAGAATATATATTGGAGTCCAGTTGGGTTTATCACTTCTACGCACTCGATATCTTTTCAAAAGGAATGAAACGAACAAATCATTTTTACCATAAAGACCATGAATTCATCTTTCAGTAGCTACCGTGATATCACAAAATACAACCAAAAAAACGCCAAAATGCTCTAGTCCATAATATCCACCTACACTAAAACCCCACGCTCAAAATCAAAAACTTGAAAAAAAAAAAGATTCTCAGCAGAAGGTGTGAAGAATTGAAGAAGTTGATTTGATCTAGAAGGGAAAGCCACCAGGGAAACCTCCACCAGGGAAACCCCCACCCTGCTGGAACTTGAAGTTACCTCCACCAGGGAATCCGCCGCCGCCACCCTGCCTAAACATGAACTGCTGGCCGCCAAACGGCGAGCCCTGGAAGGGATTGCCATGCTGCTGCTCATTGCTGTTGGGATCATCACCACGGTCAAATCGTGCTTTGAGCTCCGGATCAGACAGGACTTCATACGCCTCGTTGACATCCGACATCTTCTTTTGCGCATCCTCTGGCGTCATGTTGTTCGCGGATGCCTTATCCGGGTGGTACATTTTGCTGAGCTTCCTGTATGCCTTCTTGATTTCGCGCTCATCGGCATCACGGGACACACCGAGGACCTTGTAGTAGTCCTTTTCCTTTGAGCGCTTGAGTAGGGTGCGGGCTTTTTGAAGGAGCTCGTCGATCTTTTGGTGCTGGTGGTGTTCGGCTGCGAGTTCGAGAGTGCGGATGCAATCTTCGAAGTCGTCAGCGTCGAGTTGGCCTTGGGCTTTGTGGATGAGGCCGTGGAGGGAGTTGGGGTTGAGTTGGAGGGCTTCTTTGCAATAGGGGGTTCCCTTTTTCAGGTTGTTCATTTCGACGTAGGCTTCGCAGGTCATTTCGACGAGGTTCTGGTAAAGGCCTTGAGGGGAGTTGGCGTAGATGTAACCCTTTTCTGTGTAGTCTTTGAAGTCTTGTTTGACCTCTTTCAACAGTCCTGGGTCTGACTCGCCACGGTCGATGAGGAGTTTTGATGCGGTGGCGTACTGGCGCTTTTCGAAAAACTTGCGCACTTTCTTGATGTCCTTCTCGAGGTTCTTTTCTCTCCTGCGCAGCTTCATGCATTCCTTGGAGTCTGGATCTGACTGAAGGCATTGGGCAATGTGCTTGATTCCCTTGTCGGTTTCACCAAGGGAGTAAAAGGCCATGGCGGAGCTTTGAAGGTGAGGCTCAATGTCGCCCGTGTTGATTTGAAGAAGGTGTTGTAGGTCGCTGATACCCTCGACGACCTCACCCTTCTCGAAGCGACAGTGTGCTCTTGTCTTACGGATATCGTATGCGCCGTTTGCGACCACTATGGCAGCGCCTGCATTGGTGATGCAGGAGTCCCAGTCGCCTTTTTCGGCAGCCTCTTGTGCGATAAGAGCCGCAGCCTGTGCTTCTTCCAGCTGGGCGATTTCATCGGGCTTACCGGCTGCCTCGTAGTCCTTGCGCGCCGCAGCCCAGTCAGCTTTCCTTGCTCTTATTTTTGCTCGTTGCACCAATGCGCCCTCGAAGCCAGGCTTCAGTTCCAGCACCTTGTTGAAGTCCTGCTCTGCCTGAATTGTCTTGCCGATTTGGAGGTAGGCAGCGCCGCGTCGGAAGTAGGTGAGGTAGTTGCGCGGGTCACGGGAGATGGCCACATCGAAGTAGGTGAGGGCATCCTGGGTATTTCCAGTCGCCATCTGCACCGTGGCATCTTTGACTAACTGCGACACGGGCGTGTCCGCGGGGATGTCAGCGGCAGACAGAGCGCTTGCGAGAGGGAGCAGCCCGAGGGCTAACGAGGAAAGTCGAAATATCATGTTGCGACGTTTGTGTAGTGGCGAATGTACAAGTAACGAGGGACTGTAGGCGGGCAAGGGCCTGAGAGAGGGGATAGTCCGCTCAAGGTGGCAGCGGCAGAAGCAGTTTATCTAGGCATGAGCGAAGGAGTGAAACAGGGTGAAGGGTAATATATGCGATTGTTATTTCCGTTCATGCAACTTGTCCTGATGTCGAGGCGGTGGTGCAGGGGCCACCCCGATCCTTGGACCCCAGGCACTCCAGGTACGCTAGTGGTGCGTCATGCATGCGGACACGGGCGGGCTAGTGCTGGCCTATCTCCATACTCCGCTATATCCTCACTGTCCGCCTCTTCTACCCTTGAACTCTGCCTCCTGCTTGCCGTGCTCTATATGTCTACCTCACTAATGTCTGCCATCCGCCTACGTATCGATGGACGTACATTCCGCGACTCCCATAACCGCGAAGTAACGTTGCATGGCATCAACTGCGCCGCCGATGCCAAGTTCCCTGCGAATCCTAACCAACCCTCACACATACCTGACAACTTTTTCGATGGAGACAACGTTTCTTTTGTGAATCGGCCGTTTTCCCTGGACGATGCGGCAACACACTTTTCGCGGTTACGGAGTTGGGGGTACAACACCATCCGCTACATCTTCACCTGGGAGGCGATAGAGCATGCTGGACCAGGAAAGTACGACGAGGAGTGGATAGACCACACCATTGCTGTGCTACGAAAGGCCAAAGAGTATGGCTTCTACATATTCATGGATCCCCACCAGGATGTCGTAGGTAGCATTCCAATGTACTTGAATGTCTCTGTCCTAACACGTCACACAGTGGTCACGATTCTCTGGAGGCTCCGGTGCACCCATGTGGACTCTTTATGCCTGCGGGCTGGATCCCGAGAAATTTGCGGTCACCGAAGCCGCCCTCGTACATAACACGTACCCAGACCCTGCGACTTATCCCAAGATGATCTGGACGACCAACTACACCCGCCTGGTATGTCAAGTCATGTGGACTTTGTTCTTTGGTGGCAGAGACTTTGCCCCAAAGGCCATCATAGACGGCAAAAATATACAAGACTACTTGCAAGAGCACTTTATCGGCGCATGCGAGCACCTTGCGAAGCGTATACACGAAGCAGGGGACCTCTGGCACGACCCGGTAGTTGGTTGGGAAAGCATAAACGAGCCCAACAGAGGCCTCATCAGCTATCAAGACATTACGCAGATTCCCAGCGAACAAAAGCTACAGAAGGGGACTTCGCCAACAGCTTGGCAGGCAATACTAACTGGATCTGGTAGGGCTTGCGAGATCGCGACTTGGGACTTTGGTGGCTTGGGACCTTACAAGAGCGGATCGGTTTTAGTAGATCCCGAGGGCACACAAGCATGGCTGTCGAAAGATTACGACAACACCAAGTACGGCTGGAAGCGTGACGCTGGGTGGCGTCTGGGTGAGTGCTTGTGGGCGCAACATGGAGTATGGGACCCAGAGACCGACACAGTGCTGAAAAAGGACTACTTTGGAATCGACCCCAAAAATGGCGCTAAGATCGATTACGAATACTTTACGAACCACTACTGGCTGGCTCACTACCGGGCTTACAGCAAGATGGTTAAGTCTATTTTCCCAGATTCATTGATGTTCTTCCAGCCTCCGGTGCTTGAGATACCTCCAAACATCAAGGGCACCGAGGATGATGATCCCAATATCATCTTCTCGCCTCATTACTACGACGGCATTACTCTCATCACGAAAAAATGGTATGTTTCGATGTTTTAAAGTTTGCGACTATATCTAACATGACGTAGGAACCGAGTGTGGAACGTAGATGTTTTTGGGGTGCTGCGAGGAAAATATCTGACACCGGCATTCGCCATCAAGGTTGGAGAGACTGCCATTCGAAACTGCTTCTCACATCAACTCAAGGCGATCCGAGAAGAGGGTACTGAACATATGGGAGTGCACCCTTGCGTTTTCACTGAAATCGGCATACCGTACGACATGGACGACAAGTATGCGTATAAAACAGGCAACTACAGCAGCCAGATAGCGGCACTGGATGCCAACCACTTTGCACTTGAAGACAGCATGGCCAACGGGTTCGCGCTATGGACCTATGTTGTCAACGTAAGTCGAACTGCTGTTATGGGTGTTGCAAAACTAATGTGGAAATAGAACTGTCATTACTGGGGTGACCAGTGGAACGGAGAGGATCTATCGATATTTTCGTTGGACGACAAGGCAGTGCCAGCAGGACCTTTTTCACCAGAAGACTCTCGGGCATCGCTCGACAAGAACTCACCGACATATTCGCGGGCTCAGTCGTCGGATACACTCAGCGTCACGCCCACCAACCTGCAAAAGACGGTTTCTGTGGAGCAAATGAGCTCAACACGGACCGAGGGCGATGTGGCTGGACTTCGGGCCGCAGAAGCCTTTATCCGCCCTACGCCTGTGGCAGTGCACGGAGACATCTCATCCTACGGGTTTGACCTCAGGAACTGCACTTTCAAGCTTGCACTCTGCGCGCCAAGTTCGACATCAGAGAATGCTCCAACAGTGTGCTACCTGCCCGAATTCCACTTCCCGTCGGGCCAGACAAGTGTTGAAGTCACCGGGGGCAAGTGGACAATTACTTCGGAAGAAACGAGCGGGGCATTGCAGCAGATACTGCGATGGTGGCATGCAGAAGGTGATCAGACGATAACGGTCAAGGGAGTGGTGCGGAAAGCCGGTAGCGCGCTAGGTACGGATGAGGATGAAGGGTACCTGCAGCAGTGCCAGAAGCAGGCGTGCGCAGTCATGTAAGCGAAGGGTACAAAGTCGACGATATGTGGTTGTGGTGTTGCGGGGGGCTGTGGCCAATGCGCAGTGATGCAATTGTCATGCGACGCTCAGGTCACGCAGTCAGCGTGAAGGCGCAAAGTGCGGTGGTTTTGCAAACATATGAGGTTGGCCAGTGTTGTGTACATTGTCAGGCGTTTGGAGCGCATGCCAAAACAGTTTGATCAGATCATATTTGCGTGTGGTTGCAGAGCCGGGCGAAGACATGATGGCTTTTTTTTCATTGAAGCAGCTGACACCGCGTCGACGCGTGCCGTGGGCTTGGGACAAGCAGGCAGCAGAGCGCGTTTGTGGAACACGCAGACCGTGAAGTTGGGGCTGGAAGTTGTTTTTTTCACACGGCGTAGACGATCAAGCACACGTCTCAAGCGGCCGGATCCATAGACCTGGGCCTATTTATTGCACGCTACACCGCCATCTTGAGTGGTTTGTTGCAGACGGTGCGCGCCAAAGCTTGTCAAAGCCCCATCCTTGTCCTGTGCTGTGCATCTTCCGCTTTCAGAAACCTCCGCCCGAAACACCAGTGAGGACCAAAAGAATCCCCCAAGTCGACAATTCTCACCTCCATCGCGCGCACGCCTCTCCGCCACCCACTCCGCACACCTGACGCCACACGCCCATACGCCGCGGCCAGAGAAGCTGCCTGTCCACGATGAATGCTGGGGTTGACGACCAAGCCCCGCAAACAAGTCTAGCAAATGGCGGCAGCGGAGCGCATCACCACGACAATGCCCATTCAGACCTCTCGCAGGTTCTAGAGGCACTGCAGGCCATCTATGCCCCGACCTCGAGCAACGAAACCCGCCGACAGGCCACCGAATACCTCGAGCAAGCAAAGCGTCACCCCGAAGCCCCATCACACGGCCATACGCTCGCCCTCGACCGCTCGCAGCCTGCGCAACTGCGCTACTATGGCCTCACCATGCTTGAGCACTCCATCAAGTATGGCTGGGAGGACTACACCGTGGACCAAGGTACCGCGCTGAGAGGCTATGCCATCGAGCTTGCGCAGAACGTAACGGAGACCGACCCTGTCTACATTCGGAACAAGATTGCCCAATTATGGACAGAGATTGCCAAACGCAGCTGGGGCGCAGAGTGGTTAGACATGGATGAGCAATTAGTAGCCCTCTGGACAAACTCATTACACCACCAGGCCATAGTACTTTATGTCCTCGAAACCCTCTCCGAAGAGGTCTTCAATCGCGAAGATGCTACCGCTGGCCTGCGAGGCACCGACCTGGGGCGGGCCTGTGTCGAGATCTTCACGCCTCAAATTGTTATACAAGAGCAGCTTCCTACTAGGGAAAAAGGTCCTGATTTACGGTGCGGAGACGAAGGTTGGTTGACGAGGCTATGCAAAAACCTGGATTGGTGCTTGGGACAGGACTACCAGAACCAGGAAAACGTCAAAGCCAGTGCTGTCAAATCCATGCATGCCCTTAGAGCCGCCATGCCATGGGTCATGCCCAAAGCCATTGCGGCCACTCAGGTCATTGAGGCTGTCTGCAAGGCTCTAGCCACACCAGCAGTCGAGATACAAATTGTATGGCGACTCAAGCCAACACGAGAACCCCGTCGCTAACATGAACCAGGCTGCAGTCGAAACCCTACAGGCTATATACAACCGAACGCACTTACACGACGACGAGTTCGTGGAGCTAGTATGCCCCATGTTTACACCAGGCAGCGTCTCGCTCCTTCGGGAAGTATACAATTGGACACTCGTGGACATGGACGTCAATGACATCGATGACCAGAAATATATGCTTTGCAAGAGGCTATCTGAGGTGAGAATCACCATCTTAATCAACCCTGTGTCCATGACTAACGACCGCAGTTGGCAAACAACCTTGGTCTGTTCATTGAACAAAAGCCCCAATCTATTCCAGAGAACAGCGATCTCGCCGGTGTATTTGGTTTTCTGTACGACATTATGCGCAACCCAAGTCTTGTCGTTTCCATACCCGTCCTTCACTGTTGGACTAAGCTACTGCGATCGAGCGTTGTTCGCGAGTCTGACGTCGTGAACTCCATGGTTGGAGGTCTGCTCGAGACATGTTGTGCGCGATTGATCCGCTACGAGGCCCTTCCTGAAGATGCCGAAGACGTGACGTTGCAATTTTTGAATGAAGACATTGACACTGTTCCCGAACGACATGCCTTCCTAGGCAATTATAGGAGATTCTGCGCAGATGTAATCGAAGTACTTGTGCGCAAGACGCCGATTGAGGCCATGGAGCATATCCTTGCTCAAGCAACCAACATGTTGCAAAACCTGTACCGCGACCGTCCCTCTTTTCAACCACAGACATTTAGCAAAAACTCGCCCCAAGTCCTTCAGGTCGACGCCCAAGTTACGGTTATTGAGGCTGCTCTCAAAGGCTACATGAAATGGCAACAAAGTCAAGGCGAGGATGCCCAAGCCGATGAGCGAACGCGAAGTGTTCTAGAGGACTCACTAGAGCAATGGGGCCGTCAGATTCTGCAAGCGCAATTCGATGATCCTGAGGTTGCAAGAAAGATCATATCGCTCATGGCCACCCTTGCCACGAAGTCACTTGGCGACCGGCCTGGCTTTGCGCTAACTTTCCTTGAGTACATGCTTACCATACGTCTAGCGGATGACACCAGCTATGCTCAGTACTCGGAAGCAGTAAAGGACCTAGAGCGCATATGCAGCTTGGAGATGCAGAAACTAGCCATGAAGTTCGCCGATGATTTTATGAACGTCTACGAGCAATTAGAAGCAAAGATCAATGAGATGATCAATGACCCCACGACTGACGAACGCCAACGAATGGCATACTCTGCTTTCCTTTTCATCATCATACACAGGTGTACAACGTTAGACCACACCATTCAAACAGAGCGCATGAGACAGATGTTGAACCGCGTCAAGGAGGCATGGCAGAATGATGAGTTTACTAAAGCCATCTCTTCGTTCCAGTCTTTCTGCGACGTCCTGGGCATGGGTCAATTACCCGAATTCCTGTCTGCCAACAATTTTCGCGGCGTGCAGGATTGGTCTGAACAACAATTGCCTAGTGATGGTCAAGCATTGCAAGCTTCAATCCTTGAGCGATCTCAACAACTGCCTCTGCGACTGACTAAGACGCTACTTGCAGCATCGACTGAGAAGTTGCGAGACGGTACTGCTGCATATGAGACTGCTGCAGCACTGTGGGCAGAGACGATACCTGTGCTACTTCCCAATCTTCTCCAGCTCGTGAGCCATGCGCAAGCATTTAACGACATTGACAGCAACTGGTCACACCTGCCGATCGAACTGCAACAGGTCATTCGACGTGTTCTGACTGATCGGTTCTGGCAAGCGGGCATCTCAACGGAAAGCAGAGATGACTTCTTCGCTAAGGTCAGTGGCTCCAAGTCCACCTACGAAGGTTTCGCGTCAACCGTTCGAGGCACTGTCCGACAAATCAGAGAGAGTTCTTACTACATACTCTACTCGTTGACAAGATTTCGAGACTTCTTCTATGGCATACAAGACTTACCGGGACCGCTCAGCCAAGCTCTCTTTGGGCACGCTGGTGCCTTGACCGCACATCACTTGTCCGTTCTGCTTACGGTATCTACGCATCTTATCGAGGGGTGTCCGTCACAGTTACGGTCACAGTTTCTACCGCCTATGATTCAAGGGCTATTCAGGGAACTAGACAGGAAGATCTCTGGGGAATGGAGCGAGATTGCTCGCCAAGTGGCGGAATCAGGGGATAATGACAACTTGACAGATGAGATGAAGACCGAAAGTATCCTTCGTCAGCTTACATACTCTTCGGTCTCGCTTGTCGCCGTCCTGCTTGATTCACGGCAGGGTAAGTTTGATTTCATTTCTGAGCAGGCGTGGGACGGGCGGTCGAAGTACCAATAGTATAGGGTTTTCCACTACTGTGGTTACTTGTTTCCGCTTCTTGAAATTAGAGAACTTGGTGCTAACATATACACACAGAGTTTGCTCGGCAAGATGATCAAAGTCGCAAGGAAGCCAATGCGCCACCAATGTGTGATTTCATTCTCACTACACCTTCAGTCTTGGAGCCGATTCTCCTCTTCTGCAACTCTACCATCCGTGTAAGAGACACTCGATCTGTCATCACTATTGTGCGTGTCATGCGGACGCTTCTTCCACGCTTCAAGGAAAAGTCTCCGATCCGGGATTATTTCTGCAATGACATTCTGAAATCTGCCATCACATCGCTACACGAACCATACTTTGTTGATTGCCAGAAGGAACTTGCGTCTCTGATTGCAGGTATCATCCATCTCGACGATGAGATTCCACGCTCCATCATCCTTTCATTGCCTGGCATGGGTGACGAAGCTCGTGTCGACCGCCGGCTCGCAAAACTCCAAAGTGCAAACCGTCAGGATGAGAGGATGCAGAGGAGCATCGTCTTGGATCTGCTCAGTAGTATCAAGGGTGTAAGTATCCATGAGCAAGGTAAAATCCAGCGGCCAAAGGCAAAGTCTAGGACGGCGATGATGGAACAATACATGACTGTTGATCAGCAGCCAGCCATTGTTCGTGGAACGAGCCCGGGTCTTGCAGGCGTTGCTGATATGTTTGGGGGGCAGTAAGATAGAGCGATAATGCTAATGGTCTTGGGGGGAGGTGGGAAAAAAATCGGAAAGACAGGGGAATGATACCATGGGATGAATGGACAGCGGGGTATGGGGTACGGGTATGCATAGCATGGATATTGAGTTCATGGGGCTCAGCAGTCGCAGCTTTATGGAATACGAGACCTTATTGTTTGATCAGGAGAGTCATTTGTAAGATGCAGTTTCTGTGTGGAGTCCTGTCCGAAGCAATTTTGCGTCAAGCCATAATGCCAACAAGTCCTTCTGCTGCCCGTGTCTGTCTTTCTCACCTCTCTAAACAAAACAGGATGCCGGTGGGAAACTTTGTCTTGGTTGCGGGAAATATCCATTTTTAGTAGACCTGGAGTAGACCTGGAAGGTGATGATCATAATGAAGGGAACAAATTGCATGCGTTGTATTTCTCAAGTAACTATCTTACAGATGCAAAGCGATAACGAAGTTCAACAGATACCGCGGCGATTGGCTTCGGAACAATCGGAATACTCAATCCGGCTATTGAAGGGTCTCGGAACGACGCCCGACATTGCATGAGCATCCCACTTTGTGAAGATCGGCTTCAGGACAACACGCCGTATGTTTTCTTGTTGAGATCAGTTGGATTCCAGTCATCGCTTCTTCATCAATATCTCCACGTTGTTGTATTAGCAGCACCACTCAATTTCTCGTCATCAACACACATCGACCTCGACAGGCAACATCACAATGGCGCCTCCACCAGCACCAGGCGTTTGGTGCCCCGCAGTCACCTTCTTCACCCCAGACAGCGAGACAGCGACCCTAGACCTCGTCGCACAAAAGCAATACTTCAGTTACCTCTCCAAGTCCGGGCTTACGGGACTCGTCATCCTCGGATCCAATGCAGAAGCCTTTTTACTCACACGAGACGAAAAGAGAGCACTCATGAAATGCGCCCGCGAAGCCGTCGGACCAGATTATCCCCTCATGGTCGGCATTTCTGGCTTCTCTGTCCCCCAGGTGCTAGAGAACATTAGCGACGCAATCGAGGCGGGCGCAAACTACGGATTACTGTTGCCAGCAGCGTACTACGGGGCTGCCACATCCAAAGAAGTCGTCATGGCATTTTACAACGAAGTCGCGCAAAAGAGCTCGTTGCCCATTGTCATTTACAATTTCCCGGGTATCTGCAGCGGTGTGGATCTCGATTCCGTTACTATTGCCGCGCTTGCGCAGCAGAACCCAGGCAAGATTGTGGGCGTCAAGTTGACGTGCGGGAGTGTAGCTAAGATTACGCGGCTCTGTGCTGAGCTCCCGAGCGACATGTTTTCGACGTTTGCAGGACAGGCAGACTGGATGATTGCTGGCTTGGCTGTTGGAAGCGCGGGATGCGTGTCGGCGTTTAGTAACGTTTTTCCTAAAGCCTGCTCGAAGATATACGAGTGGTATACGAGTGGCAAGACGCAAGAGGCGCTGGAGTTGCATCGTAAGGCTGCGCTGGCGGAGAGCCCGATTAAGGCTGGGATTGCGCCGACAAAGTACGCAGTTAGTCAGTATAGTGCGAAGGCGGCGGGGATTGAAGGTGCGGAGGAGAGGTTGGCTCCTAGACGGCCGTATATGCCGGTTAGTGAGGCGCTCAAGACGAGTGTCAAGAATACGATGGAGGAATTGGCTGCGATAGAGAATGGCTTGTAGATTAGCTTCAATCAGTACATGTTTCATTGGCGGCTACATAATGATCTAAGAAGGCTACCAAACATGAGCATTCATCAACTAATGACGTGATGTTCATAATAGTTAGACCGATGGCGATTTGGGACAAATCCATGCAAAGACCCTTGATTTAGCGCGCTGGCACGTGCCCTATCGATAACGCGAACATTCACGTCTCGAACTTTTTTTCCCCCAATCGCCAACGAAATACCCTATACATATACTATATACAATGGCGGCTCAAAAAGGACCAAACGGTGTAGAAAAGAAGAAACGTGCGAAGAAGCGAAGGATAAGAACAGAAGGTAACATTAAATATCTACAAACGCAAAGCTGGAAAAACGCATGACCGCTAATGCTATACGCAACCAGTCTCGTCCTCGAGCGAAAGCGACAGCGATGTCGCCAGCGAGAAGAGTGGTACACCTGTATCCCGCGACATAAGCGTACGCCATCTTCTTCTTCTTCAATTCAAGATACCGAACCTATAATTGACACGGAAGCAACAGAACAAGGAAAAATCACCCGATGCCGTCGCACCCAAGGAACCAAACAAGAAATCTAAATCAACCTCCTCGGCACCGGATACAGATGTAGCAATGGAAGATGCTCCTCCTCGTTCTCCTCCTCGTTCTTCTCAACCATCAGCCGCAAATCCTTCTGCAAGTCAGGCCAGCCAGGCTAGCAAAACAACCCAAGACGACTTCAGCGCCCTCTACCTGCGCAAGATCGCCACAGAATTCGCAGATGATCTCGATAAAGTACGCGAAGCACCTGATTTCAAAGCGAGTAGCGTGCCGATGCTTATTCATGCGTTGAAGCAAGGGGAGACGTTGTTTAGTGGGGAGGAGAGGAGGAGGGTTGTTGGTGCTGCTAGTAAAGTCTGAGTGTGTGTGTGTGAGAGAGAGAGAGAGAGAAAGA